CCCCCCCCCCCCCAAAAAAAACAACATAATCACACAACACACAAAACATATAAAAGATCTTTTTGGAAAGTAACTTGGACCCGGGTATCTCTCTTTTCATGGACTTCAATTATATTCAGGCTCATCTTACATATCATTACTTATTTTATTTACCATTCTAAGTCTTCTATATTAACTTCTCCACATATTTCACTCTTCTTGATTCTATCTTAATTAATCATCTTAATTTGAGTCATTATATTTATATCTTTTGTCCATTCTCTATTATACCTTTGTCTCATTCCTTTTAAAAAGAAAGAAATTTCTCCTGAAATCACTAATCAGAGTATGATGCCTTTCTATCTCCCCACTAAATTAATCAAATTAATCTTTAAAATACCCAATCCGATTTTGCTTGGTACATTCTAACTGAATAATACATCTAAAACAATTAAATACCTAGTTAAGCAATAGATTTAAATATTAAAAACAAAATACTATAATGAAAGTTTTATAATAACATCAATACCATAATCTTAATAAACTCTTTAATTAAAGTTTAATATTCTAAATCTCCCCTCATATTATATTTTCAAACCAATCATTATTAACATTCCAACATTTTAATCTCTTATCAACTCTCAAACCATTTAAATTTTCTATTTCTGATACAATACTACAATGTCATCTTATGTACCTTGCAAAATCTCTTTGAAGAAATTATACTTATCCTTTATCCCTAAAAAAAATTTCTTTTTTCTCATTTAATTTCAAAACTTTGTAACTTTTCTCCACCTTTTCTCTTTCTTTCTTCCCCCAACAAACCTTTCTAGCCCCCCTTCTAGCCCCCCTTCTTCTAGCCTCTGCCTTACTGGCTTCCCTTCTCTGTCGCATTCCTCTTCCCTTTTGTTTACCATCCTTATATTGATTTTGGACCTTGTTTTTCCCTTTCTTAAATGTTTTTTTAAATCTTAAGTCCTTTATTTCTCTTCTTTTTCCTCTTCCTTCCCTCTTGGTCGAGTTCTGAGATTTATTAAAGATGGCTTCCTTTCTTTGTTCTTCTTCTGCTGTCTTCATCTGTTGCAATGTTTGTTGATAATTAATAAGCGCCATTTCTAAAAAAAGGAAGGCTTCTTTCAAACCAGCTTTACCATTTTGTTTTGCTTGCTCATAGTCTTTTCTCAGTTCCTCGATAGAAGAAGCCATTATAAATCTTTTCTTTTCTTTTCTCTTACAACAGCCAAAATATTCCAAAAGAAAAATAAGACAATCCCAAAGTTCTCAGTCAGTCCAAACCAAGACAGAGTTCCCACTCTCTCCTCCTGGGGTAGTATCAATTAAATAAAAGGAAAGTCCAAATCTGTTTCTTAAAGTCTTATTACAATATATTTTAGTCTTTCAATCCTTAAGGCATCTCCTCCAACAAAGTCTTAGCATACAAATATTTTTTTTTAAGTCCTCTCTTTTCCCACTCACCGCTTAGAGCCAGTTTTCACCTAAAAAAAATAGGTTTCTTAATGTTCACTTTTTATTCCGTAAAAAAAGAGGGTAAGCTATCCTTTCAGCACCATTAAACTGCCGCTTTTTTCCTCTTCTCGAAGGTATCATTCAGAAAGTCATACTTTTCAGGAATTTTGTTAAATATGTCTTAGAGACCTAGGAACCAAGAAAAACTTTCTCCTCTCAAGCACTTTCTCCACTTCCTCCTGCGCATTCTTACCCGGCTGCCAGCTTCTTTGTGGCGGCCATTACAGACCGCCGCTGCACCGTCCTGGGAAAAGGGGGTTCTGCCGGCCGGGGAGGGGGTCTGCAACACCCCCAAACCCTTCTCCGGATCCCCCCTACCTTCAGCTGCCCCTGCAGGGCAGCCTAGCTCCGTACCCGTCTGGGTCGGAGCCCCAAAAACGGCTAGCGCGGCAGGGATCGCGCAGCTTCGCAAATCCCTGCCGCTCGCGAAGCCGACAAACCGCCAGCGAAAAATTTCTTAGTTCAACAAATCAAGGAAAGGTTTAGAGTAAGGGTCTTCCCACTTGGCAAGTTTAAGACTGGTGGACTTCAACTCCCAGAATTCCTGAGCTAACATGACTGGAGGAGGAATTCTGGGAGTTGAAGTCCACAAGTCTTAAGGCTATCAAGTTTGAAGACCCCTGGTTTAGAGGTACATGAAAGTGATTTGTTTATGTGACCTGACTTTATTTATTTATATAGATAGATGGATGGATGGATGGATGGATGGATGGATGGGAGAGGGAGAGGGAGAGAGTTAGTTAGTTAGTTAGTTAGTTAGTTAGTTTTATTGTATTGGAGCCTGCTTACAGTCTAGGACTGTGATGGCAAGTATAGCTTAATAAGTAAATGTTCCTTGCTAAAAGTAACTTCACATTAGATAAATATTTCTACGCAATTCAATTTGGACACTACAGCTTTCCTGTTTATGTGGTTTTTTGGTGTGAATTAAATTAGGATTGGATATATTGTAGGCTGGAATCTTTTTGTAGATGGACAGCCTCAATAATCCCACTAATAAATGAGCAGGGACCCAAATCAGCGAGATGAAACCTTCTCAGTTGCAGAGTTGCCTCTGGGTAGCTTTTCAAGCACATGCAAGTAGAGGTGCAAGCACAGGTTTCCCAAAGGTTTACACGACACCTGAAGCCAAATGGGTTTGACAGGTTATAGGAATCCAAGAGTATTATAAATCCCTGCTTGGGGGTTGTTGTATTGAGCCACAAAATAATGGTGAGTTCAGAAAATGATGGGATTATATAATACAATAATTGTTGGAGTTTGTGTGAAAGGAACCAGGTTTCTCTGCTCCTTTTCTATGGTTCTGGAGCTAAAAATGAAGGGGGAGACACTGTTGAAATTGTAAATATTTAAATTGTGGTTTTTCTTTTCATCAATTGGGAATGTAGTAAAGAAGCAAAACATGGCTAAAGAAGGGAGGAAAGTGGATTGTGGTATTTAAAAAGGATACAAAAAAGTTAGTAATGTGAGGAATGTAGTTGGTTACTTCTCATCCATGTTAAACTTTCAAGCAGTTTTTGTTAAGGGTTTCAGCAGGTGGCAGCACCTGGCTAACCTTCAGGAGATTCAAAAGTTTAAGAAGACTGCCTCACAAGTGGCTAGAAGGGACACTGCCAGGGAATCCCTTGGCTTTGACCCATCAATGTCTAAAATAAACTATGGTGACCTCAAACCCTTATTGGTTTATCATTCTCTCCCAACCAGCACCCACTTTGGAGCACACGATGGAAATTTAGAAACATCCCAGGAGATGATTGCTATATTATTTTCAGAAATATAGGCATGCAGTCTAGTTGCATTAAAAACAGCATTGCCTTGATTGTTCAGCAATTGTTTAAGGTGACCTCATATAAAAACCATAATGGGGGAAACCCCACTAAGAATTACCCAGAAAACTGATTGTGTTGCAACCATTTAATTTTGTGTTGTTTTTGTTGTTTGATTTTTTTTAACATTGATTATATGCCATCAAATTGGTGTACATTTTCAGCACCCACATAAATAGATTTTCTCCATGATGATGTGTGTCCCTGATCTGGTCTTCCAAAGATGGGTTTGGAACTGCAAACACTACATCGCAACTGTACCTGAGTCACCAGCTCCAGGCAACTACACAATACGTCCAGAATTGGATAATTTGTTATTTTACTGATAATGTACTTTTTTTACTGGTTTTAATATGCCAGTATATTTAAATCTTTGTTTTTTTACAGGGTTGTAAAAAGGGAGTTTTTTTCTCTCTTAGTAGCAGAAAACGAGGTCACACTGTGTACCAAATTTAGTGTGCTGGATCATTTGGAATCCATTTTAGGATCTAGAATAATTTCCAAGAGAGTTGGAATGGCCTTTTTTTTTGGCATCAGAGCAGCCTGTTTTGGCTACAAGTTACTAAATGATGGGGTTTCTGTACTCATGAGAGTCAAATTGTGACATAAAAGCCCCATGTCTTCTGACTGTTAAATGTGTGTCTAGTAGCACTTGGCAGAATAGAATGTCTAAATTTGACTAGCCTATTATTGATGTCCCTTGAGGATAATTTCATTTAACTATGTGGGTTTATTTTAGGACTTCAAAACCCGTGTGGATCAAGCATGTGCAGCAACAGAAGAATTTGCAAATATTTATTATGAAACCATTGATAAAAGAAGACAGGTATGTAGATTTCTATTTTGCTATTTTGTTAGTTAAGAATGTATGGTTTTATATATTTTTATATTTCTTTTATTACTTTTGGAAATACTTCACTGTTAATATTCAGCTAGGAGTCAACTAGAGCCAGTTTGATGCAGTGGTTAAGGCATTAGGCTAGAAACTGGGAGACTGCGAATTGTAGTGCCACCTTGGGCACTAAGTCAGCTGGGTGACTTGGACCAGTCACTTTCCCTCAACCCTAAGAAGGAAACAATGGCAAAATCTTGCCAAGAAAAATGCAGGGACTTATCTCTAAGAATCGGTTGATATGTCCTAGTTTCCCTTTTCACTGGAGTTGTTCTGAAATTGAAACAACCTGTTCTAATTTAGAAACATTTTGCACACTTCCTATCTTTAGTTTCATACTTCTTATCTATCAGTTTATTGGGAGCAGATGTTTAACTGAGAACCCAGAGAACCTCTTTAAGAATTCTTTGAATGTAAAAAAAAAGGCAATAGGTTGAGTGTAAAGCAAAAGTAGGTTTTTCAGTAAGTTTGCAAGTGGAAAGGGCAAATCCTGCTGGCATTTCACATGATATTTTCTAATGTTCTGCAGGTAATAACCAGACTGTACACTGATGATGCAACTCTAGTTTGGAATGGGAATGCTGTATCTGGCCAAGAAGCTCTTGCTAAATTCTTTGAGATGTTACCATCTAGTGACTTCCAAGTGAACAGCTATGATTGCCAGCCTGTTCATGGTAAGATAACTTAAGAAGACAGTGCCACTATCCACAACGTTATTAATATGCAGTGGCATGGGTAATCTTTTCCATGGTGTGAAGGACAAACAGCTTTGCTCTGAAATGCGATTAAAATACTGCATTTGGATTTATATAGCTAGGAGCTATCTGAATGTCTCCACATCATTTGTATGATTCTTATAATTCTTTTAGATTTTAGAAAGCGTAGTAGACTAACATCCTGCTCAGTCCTTTTGAATGCAACCTCCAATTCTGCATTTAGCTCCGACTGAGGAATGAACTGTCTCATAACACCCAGAGTCTCTTGGCAGGGTGAGACGAATGGCATTTAAATAAGTCTTTGTCCACAGTGGAAATCCTCTTTTCCACAGTTTGCCTGAAGGTTGAGAGCATGTGGTTTGAATTATTGGTTCTCAGGAACATGTCACAAAATGCTTGCAGTTGCAGAACAGAATTGCTGACTTTGATGTACTTGGGTAGGTTTGAAAGAAAGAGGCAGGGGATACCAGCAGCATCTCGGTGTGGGTGTGCATTTTTTAAAAAGGCAGGAGATTGGGAGGTACGTCCCTATGTACTCTGCTATGTAGATACCATTGATTAGACAACACCTCTTTGCTCAGATGAATAATATGATAAATTGTAGAGTTGTAATTGCAGGAATGTTCCAATCTCGGATGGCAAACCTCAGATAAAGAATGTTTCCAAGCAAATACAACTCAGGTAAACAAAGTCACTAATCTAAAGGAGGATTAGAGAGAGGAAGTAAACATATGTTAGACTTTAACTAGAGATAATTAATTGTATAGATTACTGTGCTAAACAGTAATGAAAGTTAAGCAGTAACCAAAGTTAACCAATGATGGAAGATAATTAAAAATGTGTATAAATGCAAGACTAGACTCCAATAAAGATCATCATGATTCAGTTGTTCATGATCAAACAACTCAACTGCCTCGTCATTACAACAATAAATAAAACTGCTGAATTTTCTTCTAAGTAGGTAGGGTAAAGATAAAGTACTGTTTAAAACCCTGTGGATTTTACTCTGCTGGTCATTGCCAACTATAGGAGGCAGTGATCATCTGTGTTTCAAGGCCATTGGGCCAACATTTCCCTGCTCACGCATGACATCACGCAGCTTCCTTCCCACCGAAGTGATGCCTGTTTATCTACTCACATTTGCATGCATATTGAACTTCTAAATAGATTACTTCTAAGTGCTGAGAAAGAATTAGATTGAGATAGAATGACTTTAAAGAAGATCTTTCCTTAGAAATGTCCATGCTCGTATTTAAAAGTAGACTTCCGAGGAGCAATTGTGTTTTAGCACCTTTTTCTTTCCTTTCTCTAGAGCAAGCGACTCCGAATCAGACTACTGTTCTTGTCGTGACCTGCGGGACTGTCAAATTTGATGGGAACAAGCAACAGTACTTCAACCAGAACTTCTTGCTAACAGAACAGACCACAAATAATAACACAGTCTGGAAAGTCATGAGTGATTGTCTCCGTTTCCAAGAAAGCCCTCATTAGTGAGAGGAGCAAGAGTGGATGTTTTCTTCTGGATTTTTTTTTTTTAAATAGCCCTGGCATTGGGGGTGAGCCTGTTGAGTGTGGATATTCACCGGTCTCTCCACACCTCTTTGTACGTTTCACAGTTATAGCATATATTGTTTTTAATGAAAGAACTTCCTTGCTTTCAAGGTTTCATTAAGCTGCATCACAACCAAGTTTAACTATACTGTGATTGCCTCTTCAGGTGACAGTGGAATAATTTCTATAAGTGTTCTGTGCATTTATAACAGATTTCAAAATTAACACTCTATGGACCCTTTTGAATATTTTGGGAGAAATGTTATTAGGCTCAAGTTTTGTTTACAGTGAGAATTAAAATGATGGTGGGAGAGACAAAGATTGTATCTGTGATTCATGAGGTCTTTTGGAATGTGTGGGCCTTGCTGAAACAAGTACAAGAATTTTGCTACAGGCTAGGTGAAACATGAGCCTGTGGCCGATTTATTCCTGTGGAATTTCTCTACATGTTTATGCTGTTTTTATACGTTTGCATTTTTCACTTATTCCATAGCAGTAATTGCTTCAGATTTCAGTATTCAGAGAAAAAAAAAAGTTTAATAAAAAGGGAAATCCATCTAAGGGAATTTTTCTGTTCTCTAAATTGTTCTTCATTTGTCATTTTTTACAGTGAAGAGTCAGAACATTTCTGAGTAGTTAGGGACAAATAAATTTAATGGGATTGAAAATGCCCCACTTTACTCTGTTTAATTTTGCATTTGTTCCCCAGTTTTTTCCCAACCTGTATGAAAAGGACCTGGTGCCTGTTTTACTGCTTTCCCATGCCATAGCATTGTTATGACCAAATCCAATCTTGGATTTGAATCTGGGTCATGGTTGTCCCCAAAATGGACTTTTTTTTCTCCTTGAAAATGTTTCTCTTCACATCCCAGAATCTTCTTCAGCTCTCTTTGAAAATGGGACAGTCTTGGTTAAGAGATTCCTATATAATGTTTTGAAATATCAAACATTTGTTCTCCCTCTTCTTCCGTGCCACAAATTTGAATAGTAAGAAGCATTACAGGAAGAAAATTAACACTGAAAGCTTTCCGCTAAAATCTGTTAGGCACCTGCAGTTTTATCACCTAAGACTCTTCTTTCACGCCGACGTACAAGTTGCCCTTAACTTACAATCATTCATTGGGCAACTATCCAAAGTTACAACAGCACTGAAAAAAGCAACTTATGACCAGTCCTTGCATTTATGACCTCTGCAGCATACATTCCTATGGTCACGTGCTTGGAATTCTTGGCAACTGGGATGTATTTGCAACCGTTATAGCATCCCAGGGGTCATGTGATTATCATCTGTGATCTTCCCAGCCAACTTCCAACAAAGACAATGCGGGAAAACGGATTCGTTTAACTGGTATTTGCTTAATAACTGTAGCAAAAAAAAAAAAAAGGTATGAGCGCGACTCACATCACCGCCACCTTGCTTGGCAATGGAAATTCTGGCCCCAGTTGTGGTTGTGAGTCAAGGGCTACCTATAGTGCAAAGATCACACTGAGAGATAAGGTCCAGGTTGTTTTGGTGATGGACAATATGCCTGTGGGTCTTAATTCAGATGCACTGGTGATCTTCTGAAGAGGTAGGTAGGTGCTGGTGTGTTTCCATGGCACTTACGAATGTGCAATTATAAGGTGCCTTTTCCCAAACTGCAGTTCTGAATTAATCTGACTAGTGCCATAGAAACAGGTTTCACCGAAGACTGTGTCTACACCAGGGGTGTCCAACCTTGGCAACTTTAAGACTTGTGGACTTCAACTCCCAGAGTTCCTCAGCCAGCAAAGCTGGCTGAGGAACTCTGGGAGTTGAAGTCC